CAGTCCAGTCTCCCCTACAAGGCCTGGCTGGGGGCAGTGGGGCTCTCCCATCGTCTTTGGAGGGTCACTGCTCCAGACCCTGGAACCCAGGCAGAGCTTTTTCAGAGCATCCGGGATGCCCTTTCTGGTCTAAAGTGAAAAATCCTGTGAAGGCTTGGTGTTTGGCGCCACCCCGTGGCAAGTTCACATTGGTGTGCCTGGGCTTTCCAAGGTCCCAGGGCGGTGAGGATTCTGAGCAGCACAAAACCTCTCTCTTCGGGACCTCTGACTCCTTTCCTAGAGAGGGGACACAGGACCCTGGCTCCTTTCCTACAGAGGGGACACAGGACCCTGACTCCTTTCCTAGAGAGGGGACACAGGACCCTGGCTCCTTTCCTAGAGAGGGGACACAGGACCCTGACTCCTTTCCTACAGAGGGGACACAGGACCCTGACTCCTTTCCTACAGAGGGGACACAGGACCCTGCCTCGGGGAGAGATGAGAATGCTGGAGGAGCCAGACAGGGCTGCGCTTAAAGGGCTGATCCCGCCTCTTATTTCCTGACCTTGCGGCCTTAGGCATCTCCTATCCTTAACTCCATTTTCCCAACTGAAAAGGGAAAATCAGTCTTTCCTGCCTTCCTCTCCTGGAAGCTGAGAGGCCTCCCTTGAGCAGTGAATGGGACCCCAAAACCCAGCACCCCTGAAAGTCTTCCATGAGGAGCGGCTGGCATAGAGGGGGGCCAGCCTGGGCCAACTGGTCCAGAAACCCAAACTGGGGCAGCAAGTCAGGCCCCTCCAGGACCCCTCCCTGAGTGCTCAGAGCACCCCCTTCCTGAGGGCCCAGCTCCGGTCATGTCTGGGGGCAGGGAATCAGGGTGGTCCTCCCCTTCTGTCCCATCCTTTCTCCAACCACACAGCAACCTAACCTGTCTGTGTGCACAGGAGGTCAGACTAATATTTAGATGAAAAAGTACAAAGAAAAAATAAAATTGATTACCATAAAGCCCAGGGCTGGAGGAGGGAGAGCGGGGGACACACAGCAGAGGCAGGGCTGCTCTGGGGTCCAGGCCATGTTTCGTTTCTTCACCTGGATGACAGTCACATGGGTGTTTGCTTTATCAGAATTCATCATACAAAGCTTCACATTTTTAGCATTTTTCTGCCCGTGATATAATTCACAGTGGAGGAAAAAGATCCAATCCTGTCCCACTGTTTCAATTGCTTCCCTCTGTAGAAGGGTCGAGGGGCACACACCAGGGTTGCAGAGTTGCCCAAAGGAGGTGGAACTGATAGATCAGCCCCTGGGTGGCAGGGGTGGGAGGTGGGGGGCATGAGGGGAAGGGGGTGTTGAAGGTGTCGCCAGTGCTTTCCGTTCCACTGCTGAAACAAATGAAGTACTCAGGCCTCGGCCTCCAGACAGGCCCCCAAACTAGCCCCCCAGTGGACTTCATTAAAATGCAACTCCAGTGACCCTGCTCCCCTCTTCAAATTCAGCAGGGGCCCCCCACTGCCCTCAGGATAAATTCTAAGCTCCTTTCCCGCCAAGGGGCCCTGCAGCTCCTGGCTCCTGCCCTCAGACTCCTGCCCTCTGGGCCTCACTCAGCCTTCCCTGGTCCTGGGACCTGGCCGTGCTCTGGCTGCCGGCATGGGCTCATCCCCTCGCTTTGTCCCCCTAACCCCATAGCCACAGCACCATATGCAGGTGTGCCCCCCCCGCCCCCC